AAAAAAAAAAAAAAAAAAAAAAAAAAGAAAGAAAGAAAAAGGAAGAAAGGACAGAAAGAGAAACAGAAAATAGAAACTCTCTCCCTCCCCAGGACTGTATGAAGAAGAAACGAGCATTCCTAGAGAACCGAGTTACTGTGCATGGCACAAGATGGCCGCCTGGAAGTGCTGACCTCCCTCTCCCCGACACCGCCCAGGGCCACCCTGAGCTCTTTTCCACCTTGAGTGCTGGGTGCCAGCCCAGGTTGATACTTCTCCCTGGGGAGGCCTGATTACAAAATGGGCAAGCTCCCCACCAGTGCCTATGGCCTGAATGTTCTGGGCACAGAGGAGGTATCAGGAAAAGCCTGTCGTGGGTGATGACAGCAGACATTCCCTGTGGACTGGCCAGTTAGGAGGAGGAACTTGGTGACAGTGGTGCCACCCAGATGAGCTCCAAGTGTGATCTGTCAGAGGAAGTGTGCAGACAGGAGCTGGGGAACCATAGCAGCTGAAATGTCAGGGAGGGAAGGAGGCTGAGAGACAGGGGTGAGGGCCAGGGCAAGGCCCCATGCTAACGCCTGAGCAAGAGAACAGGGGTGCAAGGGCCTGCCTGGCAAGCTCATGGCTATGGCTGGAGTTGGGGTGGCAGGAACAGTGGCACAGGGTGGGGGGAGATGAAAGACGTGAGCAGGATGCAGGAACTCCCTCCCTTACCTCACCTTACTCCCCAAATCCTGAGATTATCAGACTTTTCGGGGAAGCTGCCCAGGGCAGGGCCTCACCTGATTCATCTTTGTGGTCCCAGAGCCCGGCCCAGGGATTGCCAGTGGACATTAGTTGAGTAAAGCAAAGAACTCTTTATAGTATTTATTAAGTCAAGGACCAGTCAGATAGATGCTGGGCTAGGCAGGTGGGAGAAGACAGAGCTCACTGCCCTGTGGGGTCTCTGTGGGGCCAGCCCCTGATGCCCACGAGGCTACTGATGCCCAGCTTCCCCCAACACCACCAACACAGGCCCAGGACAATATTACAAAAGTGAACAAATGCAACCTTTTTCTTCTTTTACAAATGACATGTCTCCATCTCCTGCCAGCAGGGGTGGGGGATGCGGGTTGAAAGTGACAGTCCATTAAAAAGGCAACAACTTTTATTAAATGAAGACTAAGCAAAGAGCCCAGGGCTGGGAAGCTGAGATGCTACCCTGGGAGTAGAGAACATGGGTGGGGGAGACCCTGCCTCCTTTCACGGCATTCCTGGGAGGGTAAGAAGGGCTGTCGCCAGTGGGGACTGAATCCAGGAGGCCCGTCAGAGCTCCTGGCCAGGTACTTTCCGGAACTGCAGCAGCTCCTTGGGGGAGCATCTCGAGGATACTCGGGAAAACGGGTAGGTTTCCAGTCTGGATGCTGGGGGACCCCAACCCAGGGTGAGAAACTGGCTAGGCTGGATCTGATGTGCCCTAAGCTACCAGAGGCACCAAAGGAGAGTGACTTAGCCCATGCCACACAGCTGGTCGCCAGGCCCAGAATCCCACTGGTGGGGCTCTTGCCTGTCCTGCTGCTGCTACTCCTGGGCTAATGGGGAAAGGGCAAGGGCAGCAAGAGGAGCCCAGGTGAGGAGGGGAGGGCTTATTAGAGGAGACAAGAAAGTGCAATGGGCTGGGACTGGGAGGAAGGAGGCTGTGCTCCAGTCATGCCACTGCCCCGTAAGAACTCAGATTAGACTTTTTCCTTCTCGAGGCCTCAGTTTCCCCATCTGTCACATGAGGAGGGTGGACTTGATTCTTTGCAATTTCTTCTACCATAAGGTTCCAGGGAAATAGAGTAAAGGATGAAGTGGGCCTCATGAGGAGCCCATGGCAAAGAAAGGGCTGTGTCAGAAAAGAAACTCATGCCCCTGAGTGACCGGGCCATGGGCCCAAGGGGACACTCAGCCCAGTGGACCTGAACTCTGCCCTGCAGTGGGGGGTCTTACCCACCCTCTGCCTGTCGAGGGTCAGGCTGGCCCAGGCATGAGGGAAGGCACTTGGGGGATAAGTGAGGAAGGGAAGCAGGAGGGGACCAGAGTCTGGTTTGGCATTGAAGTCCCTCTGCTCATGGTTTGGGGGAGCAACGTAGACAAAGGGGCGAGACTTTGTTCCTGGGTGTGAGTCCCAGGTCCAAAGTCTCTCCTCGGTCCAAGACTCCTGCGGTGACGCCACCACATAGGCCTGTGGGCTCCCCACTTGTGTCGGCACATTGAACTTAAGTTACTCTGGACCTGAGGCAGCCCAGGACAGCAGTCTGTTACGTGGCCCCAGGCCACACCATTCGTCACAAGATGTTGGGGCCCTTGGCAGCAGATTCCCGGGTGTCTACGCAGTGCAAGGCCACCTTGGGGCTGGAGCCAGGCCTCCGGGGGTAGGCACCCTCCCGCACCACGCGCCGGCACCGCACATCCTGGCTCACACTGATGCTCTGCAGTGCCGGGAGGTGGAGGAGCAACGCCTCAGGCAGGGGGACCAGGTTTGTATCCGAAAGGTCCAGCTCCTGGAGGGAGCCCAGGCCTGAGAACACCTCAGCTCCTGCCCAGTTGAGCTTGGGGTTGCCTGACAGGTCCAGGACCTGCAGGCCTGGAAGATCCTGGAAGCCATAGGGCGCCAGCTCGGGGAGCCCCTGCAGGCTGGCCAGAGACAGGTGTGTAAGGCCTGCCAGCCCCGCAAAGGCACCCGGACCAAGGACAGCCAGAGGGTTCCCATCCAGGCTCAGGTAGCGCAGGGGCAAGTCTCGGAGGTTGGGTACGGCATGGAGCTGGTTCCAGGACAGGTTCAGGCTCTGAATGGTAGGCATGGGCAGGCCGGCACTCCTGGGGTGGGGCACGAGGCAGTGAATGAGGTTGTGGGAGAGGTCCACATGTAATGCCCGGCCCTGACTGTGGGTCGTGAAGGCGGACACTGAGACCTCCCGGAGCCAGTTGTGGCTAAGGTTCACGTCGCTCAGGGGTGAGCTGGTGAAGCTCTCAGCTGGCAGGGCCGTCAGGCCATTGTGGCTGAGGTCCAGTGACTCCAGGTAGCGAAGGCGGGAGAAGGCAGTGGGTGAGATGCTGGTGAGCAGGTTGTGGCTGAGATCCAGGCCAGCCAGCGTCGTGTAGCCCGGCCCCGCCAACACTGACTCGTTCACCATCTCTAGCCGGTTAGAGGACAGGTCCAGGTGGGCTGTGTCCAGAGGAATGGGCACCGGCACGATGTGGGGGCCCAGGCCGCTGCAATCCACCCGAGTCAGGCTGAAGCTGTCGAAAAGGCCGAAGGTCTCCACCTCGCACTGGCACCCGGGAAAGCATGGCCGTGTTGTCTGGGCCCTACTCACAGCCAGCAGCAGCAGCAGCAGCAGGGGCCACGGCATGGTGGGGGCTAGAAAGAGAGCCACAAATGAGGACTGAATGCACCAGAAAGTCTAAACCCACCTTACAGGACATGAGCCCAGACATGAGCTCAGTCTAGATACCGCTGGAAGATGTCACAGTCCCTGACCTCCTGGAATGCTTCCTGAACACTCCTCCCCAGAGTTCCTAGTCCCCATGCCTCTCTGGCCTCTGCCTCTCCATCTGGTAATGAGAGTGAGGCCAGGTGGTAAATTTTCAACTAGAAGCAGCAGATGAAGGCAGGCCTGGTCTGGCTGAAGTGAGGAGGACCTACAGCCCTCTACTTCTGCCCACTATCCCTGCCTAGGGTGTTAGGAACCCAGTATGAAACCCACTGGTCTAGATGGTTTTTCAGGCTGGCCTCTCCAGCTCTGACAGTCCAGAGTCTCTGGGTTGGTTTAGACCCAGGCCCCTCGGGAGGAGCTTGTCCACAGGGCTGAGGGTAGGGTGTGCCCAGGTGCCCGTTGTCTGCTGAGCATGTGTTATGCATCGGCCGCTGTTCTGGCTGCCCCACAGCACGGTTGCATCTGCCCCTCACAACCACCTTGCCAGGCAGAAAATTCTCTCTCTGTTTTACCAAGAGGGACTGGGCCTTGGATTAAGATACTTTTGCACAGCCACACAGCCAAGTGGAGTGGCACTCAAGGGGATACTGACAGAGAAAGCATGACCCACTGCTGTGGTCTGGCCAGGGCTGAGCCAGGCCTGAGACCCACACTCCAGCCTTCAAGACCAAGGCTCTCTCCCTGCAATGGGGCCTGCAGTGACTGCCCCCTTGCACCCCTACTCCACCGGCCCCATCCCCCTAGCCTGTTGTCCAGAGGCAGGATCTTCCCTTCTCATTGGGCACCCTGGTGTCCAACCTGGGTATCTAGACTCCCAGATGGGTTCTGGGGACACGTGTCCCGAGCCCCTTTCCCCCTTACCTTGCCCCTTGCCCACAGATTAAGCTACGACACCTCTTTGGTGCTTCCTTTAACCTTAGGCAGGCAGTTAGGCTGTTTCTCTCATTATGCAGATGAAGAAACAGAGGATCAGAGAGAAAAAGGGCTTTACCCCAAACTAGTAAAATGCAGGGCAGGAATGGGACCCAGGCCTGGCGCACTCCAATTCCTCTATTCACATGTGTTGCCTCCAGCGGGACTGGAAAAGTAGCTGGTGGAGAGGCCGGAGGGGCTTTTCCCACTGGCACATGCTATGGCGTGAGCCATTTTCCCTCCCCAGATCTGTCTCCCTCTGTACAATTAAAATGGTGGCTGCCACAGATGCCAGGAACTACATACATGTTGTCACATCTAATGATCACGCCACCCACAGCTGTTGGATTCAAAGGCTGTGTTCACGTCCACTGTAGTTCCTGGAATGGTTGTGCTCAGTGGTGCCAGCATGAGGACAAGTTGGGCAGTGGGAGTGTCTAAGTGGACCAATTGGATAGTCTGTGGTGACGGCTGCCCTGCAAGGCATCCTGCAGCCTGGGAAACAGAAGGCACTAAGCTTCCTTCCAGCAGGGCTCTTCATCTGGGTGGCCCCGCTCTGGGCACCCTGGCCTGCCCATCCCTCCCTCTGGCCTTCAGGAAGCGGGTGGGAGAAGGGGAGGAGATGGGCCAGGGAACTACCCACCTTCTACACTGGAGGGTGGGCGGGGAGGGAGCAGCAGGATTTTATTACCAGCCCTGCATGAAACTTTAAAGGGCTAGCCACTTGATCTGCACTCTGGCTTTGCCCAGGGGCAGGGAAAAGTGGGGCTCTTCTCCCCTGCTCCCCTCCCCATGTGGGCCCCTCCTCTTCCACCCTTTTCTTTTGTAGCGGCCAATTTGAGGATTAAATCCAGCCCAGGTGCATCCTGGGCATGGTCCCAGCTGAGGCAGGACAGAGTGTTCCAATGTCTGGAACCAAAAGGAAAATATTAAGTTGCTTCAGGCCCCCTTTGTTCCCCTGGGTGAGTTCCTCACCGCAGGGCTCATTACCACCAAAAGCCCCACCTCCCTTGCTAAGCTGATCTGCTCATACCCACCCTTCCTGGGGTTTAAACAAATACCACAAAGGCCCCGAGATTACCCTTTGATTCCCAGAGGTGATTATACAAGGGGTCTGTGAAATGCCAAATGGCCTCTTATGAGATCCCACTTATGTAACCAGCAGCTCAAACACAGCCCAAATGCCGACCTGCCAGAGGGGACCTCTTGCTGCCCCTTTTAGGCCTCAGCCTCATCCTCTGAACTACAGGGTGGCAATTTCAACCCTGCCCTCTTCACCTAAGTTGATTAGCCCTCACTGCAAACTGTGAAGGGCTGTGCGCATGCACAGGGCAGTCATCACCAAGTGGCCAGAAGATGCGGAACTGAGGCAATGGTAGTAAAGAGGCAGGAGCTACCTAGGTAACTGCCTGCAGATGCTCCCAGGGCACTGGACTAGACTCCCTGCTCAGCTCTGTACAGTGTACACCTCTCCCAGGGTCCCTGCTCTGTGCTGGGTCAGGGCTGGGCATTCACAGTGGGAAGTGCCAACAGTGACAGTCAGGGCTAGCCCTCACTCTCTGCTAGTGCTGGACACACATGCTTTCATTCAGTCCGCACAGTCACTCTGTGAGCCAGCAGTCTCATCCCCATTTGACAGCAGAGGAACTGAGGGTTGGAAAAGGAAGGTGGCTGACCATCCTTAGCAGGAGTGACTTGTTAACACTGTGCAATTCTGGAAAGTTGTATTAGTCTGTTTTCACGCTGCTGATAAAGACATACCCAAGACTGGGCAATTTACAAAAGAAAGAGGTTTCATTGGACTTAACAGTTCCACATGGCTGGGAAAAGTCTTAACAATCATGGCAGAGGGCGAAAGACATTTCTTACATGGCGGCAGCAAGAGAGAATGAAGAGGAAGCAAAAGAAACCCCTGATAAACCCATTCAATCTTGTGAGACTTACTCACTATCATGAGAATAGCTTGAGAAAGACCGGCCCCCTATGGTTCAATTACCTCCCACTGGGCCCTTCCAACAGCACGTGGGAATTCTGGGAGATGCAATTCTAGTTGAGATTTGGGTGGGGGCAGAGTCAAACCATATCATTCCACCCATGTTCCCTCCCAAATCTCATGTCCTCACATTTCAAAACCAATCATGCCTTCCCAACAGTCCCCCAAGGCTTAACTCATTTCAGCATTAACCCAAAGTCCACAGTCCAATGTCTCATCTGAGACAAGTCCCTTCTGCCTATGAGCCTGTAAAATCAAAAGCAAGTTAGTTACTTCCTAGATACAATGGGGGTACAGCCATTGGGTAAATAAATACAGGCATTCCAAATGGAAGAAATTAGCCAAAACAAAGGGGCTACAGGCCCCAGCAAGTCCAAAATCCAGCAGGGCAGTCCAATCTTAAAGTTCTAAAATGATCTCCTTTGACTCCATGTCTCGCACCTGGGTCATGCTGATGCAAGAGGTGGGTTCCCATGGACTTGGGCAGCTCTGCCCCCATGACTTTGCAGGGTACAGCCTCCCTCCTGGCTGCTTTCACGGGCTGGTTAGGTGTCTGCAGCTTTTCCAGGCACAGGGTGTGAGCTGTTGGTGGATCTGCCATTCTGGGGTCTGGATGATGGTCCTCTTTTTCTCACAGCTCCACTAGGCAGTGTCCCAATAAGGACTCTGACCCCACATATCCCTTCTGCAGTGCCCTAGCAGAGGTTCTCCATGAGGGCCCCGCCCCTGCAGCAAACTTTTGCCTGGGCATCCAGGCATTTCCATACATCTTCTGAAATCTAGGCAGAGGTTCCTAAACCTCAATTCTTGACTTCTGTGCACCCACAGGCTCAACACCACATGAAAGCTGCCAAGTGGTATTGAGCTTTGGTTTGGGTTTGGTAAAAGGAACAAAAGCTACACTTTGGATTTTGTAAAATGAACAATTATTCCCTTCTGTGGATGCTCAGAGATTGAGTCACCTGCCCAGGGCCACTGAATGATGGTTCTGGAACCTGCCAAGGCTTGGGGCTTGCACTCTCTGAAGCTATGGCCTGAGCTGTACCTTGGCCCCTTTTAGATATTCCATGGCTGGAATATCTGGGATGCAGAACACCAAGTCCCTAGGCTGCGTGCAGCATTGAGACCCTGGGCCAGGCCCATGAAACCATTTTTTCCTCCTACGCCTCCAGGCCTGTGATGAGAAGGACTGCCCTGAAGAACTCTGACATGCCCTGGAGACATTTTCTCCCATTGTCTTGGGAATTAACATTCAACTCCATGTGACTTATGCAAATTCCTGCAGCTGGCTTAAATGTCTCCTCAGAAAACTTGACTTTCTTTTCTAATGCATCGTCAAGCTGCATATTTCCCAAACTTTATGCTCTGCTTCCCTTATAAAACAGAATGCTTTTAACAGCACCCAGGTCACATCTTGAATGCTTTGCTGCTTAGAAATTTCTTCCACCAGATACCCTAAATCATCTCTCTCAAGTTCAAAGTTCCGTAAATCTCTAGGGCAGAGGAAAATTGCTGACAGTCTCTTTGGTAACACATAACAAGAGTCACCTTTGTTCCAGTTCCCAAAAAGTTCGTCATTTCCATCTGAGACCACCTCAGCCTGGACTTTATTGTCCATATTGCTGTCAGCATTTTGGGCAAAGCCATTTGACAAATCTCTAGGAAGTTCCAAACTTTCCCACATTTTCCTATCTTCTTCTGAGCCCTTCAAACTGTTTCAACCTCTGCCTGTTACCCAGTTCCAAAGTTGATTCCAGATTTTCAGGTATCTTTTCAGCAACGCCCACTCTACTGGTACCAATTTACTGTATTAGTTCATTTTCATGCTACTGATAAAGACATACCTGAGACTGGGCAATAGACAATAGAAAGATTTAATTGGACTTAACAGTTCTACGTGGTTGGAGAAGATCTCACAATCTTGGTGGAGGACAAAAGGTATTTCTTAAATGGCGGTGGCAGGAGAGAATGAGGAGGAAGCAAAAGCTTCCTCCATTCAATTACCTCCCACTGGGTTCCTCCCACAACACATGGGAATTCTGGGAGATACAATTCAAGTTGAGATTGGGTGGGGGCACAGCCAATCCATATCAGATGTCATGGGAAGTTAAAATGGAGTTAACAATCCCTTCCTCAAGGAGTTGCGGCAAGAGCTAGAGATCACTCGTGTGAAATGCCTAGCACAGCTCCAGGACACTAACAGATGTGCAGCCAATGGTAGACGAAGCCCCCCCAGACACAGTCACCCACTACCTCCCTCCCCACACTCTGGATCACTGACAGGGAGGTGACAGTGCAACTGTGCATGGTGACGAGAGAAGTCCTACAGGACTGTCAGGAGCCCTAGGTCTCAGTGCCTGCTCTGCCATGGACTGTCCTCATCTCATCTCTGGACAAGTCTCTTCCCCTTTCTGTACCTCAGTTTCTCCAGCTTCACAGTAAGAGGTTCAGTTTAGATAATCCAACTCCAGAGTTGCAGGATTTTAAAGTTTAACAAAAGCATGGACTAAATTTCTACTAAGTATCTTCAAAGCACTAGGCTAGGCCAGGGGGGAGTGTGTGTGTGGGGCAGGGGGGTTGGGATAGATAATAGGGTCCCTGTCCTCATGGGGCTTACAGACCAGCAATGAGAACAGAAGGCCAACTTAAAACAAGATCACTAACACCAGCTTTGGACCCAGGAGACTGGGGCTCTAGTCCCAGAGCTGCCACTATCTGTGTGACCTTCCCTGTTTTCTTTATTTCTTTGAGCCTTGGTTATCTGATCTGTGTAACAGTATTCACACTGCCTCCCTCTGGAACCTGTACTGTAGCTACTACCCCCAGGAGAAAGAGAAACGAAGACAGGTAGCCACCAAAGAAGGCTGAGGGAGAAAGGGATCTTTGGACCAAGATTCAATACTTTTCCAAACCCTGACCTGAAGGTAAAAGATAACCACTGATTGACCAGATTATATAACACAAGAACAGGAAAACAAGGGCTTAGAAACTGCATCCATAGTGGTTTGGGGGATATACTGTAAGGCCTTCCAGTGCAGGGACCATGAATCATGCATTGTTGGGCCCACAGGGCCAGGTCCACAGTGACTCTAGGTTTGCTGATGGCCTGCAAGGTCAAAGAGTAAATGGTATGGCCTCAACCGGCTCCAGGGAGGTCTCCCCAGGTGACACCATACACACTGCTATGAGACACCTCTCACACAGCTTTGGCCACATCACTCCCCTTATCAGAAACCTCTTGGGTTCTGCTTTTTACCCACAGAAATCAAGTTCTCCCATGCACAAGGCACCTGCAAGCTGTCACCACTGTCTTCTCCCCTTCCCACCTGTCCCCAGCCCCCTTTGGAGATTTGAAACTCTCCTTGATAGCCAGAATGGGAACAGCCTTCACTTTAATGGACTCTGAACAACTCTCAGCCTCTGCTAACACATCTCCAAACTTGGAGAATTCCAGGGCCTGGGAGCTGGAAGGCCCCTTAGGAATCATGGGCAATTGGGGCCCAGAGAGTGACAGTGACAGCACGGAATGGCAGTGATAGCAAGGAATGGCAGAGCAGGGCCCAGGACCTGGGACCTGATGCCTCACATGACTGCCAGAACTGCATGCATCCATCCCGCCTACCCCTGGCCTGCTCCCAGTAGAACAAAGCCTGTTCTGTCCACTTGGGCCCCGGGCCACCCTCGCTCCTGGCCTCTCACCCCACAGGCTACCCACAGGCCTCCTTCAGTAAATTCTCTGCCGTTAGTTACCTGCTGTTTTCCTACTTGATGTGTGAGGAGCTTGGGGCAGTGGCCTGCCTACTTCACCTCTGTGTTCTTTCCCCCACCTGGGATCAGGGCCAGGCCTAGAGGGTGCATGGAGGAAGAGCAGGATGAACGGGTCAACTGCAAGACCCAGACCAGGTGTGAACCTAGCTCTGTACCTACTAGCTTTGGGTAAGTATGTGACCTGCTCCGAGGGTCCTCAACAGGGCTAAGAACACAGGGTTGTTGAAAGGAGTAAATGACAGAATGGCAAAGATTCCATTCACTATCTGCCATACTAGTACTCAACGTGTGGCAGACAGTGACAGTGATTTGCTAAGCCTTGTGAAGGCAGTCGTCATGTGATTCTTCATGTTCCTCCCCACTCAAGTTCCCAGTGCAGCGCCAGGAGCACAGCAGGTCCAAGACTGCCTGTGCTAACATTCTCCAGGCACTTCCCTGGTGTCTGCTGGTAAAGCTTTGAACTCTCTTCTCCAAGGAGAGCTTTCTGGGTGTTGGGTTCAAGCTTGAATCCACCTGGGCCCAGCTGTCTGCCCCTGGTGCTGCACTACGGCATCTCTGGTCTGTAACATCTTGCAGCTTCCTCTGCCACCCTCGACAACTTTCACAGGGCGCTGTTGGCACAGGGCCCCAGAACCCACCTAACACCAGCCTTTGTCTCGACCAGCTGTTCCTCAACGCCACGCAGCCTCTCACCCCGCTTCCCTCAGTCATGAGCTCACTCAGCTCACTCAGGCTGATGCCAAGGAAATCCCCAGGTGGACGGTTCAGAAACGTCCTGCCCTCCAACCACTTTGTCAGCTCTGGAAACGCAAAGCAGAAAGAATTTCAAGGCCAGACTCCTGGAGCCCCAAGGGCCGGCTCTTGCAACAGACCCACTAATGCAGCACATCTGGACAAACACAGCAGCCTACCATGTGCTCTCCGCCAGCATCTCACTTCTGCCTCACCATGGCCTTGACTCTGGGGATTACGTCCCTTCTTTGCAGACAAGGAAATGGATGTTATTCAGCTGGGAAGGAGAGGACCCAGGACTCAACCCCAGATACCTTAGCTCCAAATCCACTCTGCCTTAACTTACAAATGAGTACACGTGCAAGACAGCTTAGACCTGGTCATGCTGGACTGTACTTACATGTTTACTTGTCTGACCTACTGTGGGCAGGGATGGGATTAGGTACCGTTTTATGCCCTTGGAGCTAAGCGCCGAGCCTGGTACAGAGCAGACACCCTGTAAAGATGCACCAGGCACCTAGAATACTGCCACCCCACCAAAGGACACCTCTCACCCTCTCCCTTGCTTCCTCAACTACCATCTGTTTAGTCACCCTGCAGGATCAGCAGGTTAGATGGCATCGTATCCACTTTACAGCTGTGTAAAGAAGCCCAGAGAGGTTTGTAAGCCCAGAGCTGTGTCAAGAAGCCCAGAGAGGTTCTGTGATCCATCCAGAGTTACATAGCCAGAGAGGACTGGGGCTGGACCTAGGACCCAGGTATTCTGACATTCAGTACCTGGCCTCCTCCATAACATGATCCCAGGGATCTGTAAGCCCAGCAACTTACCCCAGGAGGATAATCTACGGGGAGATGGGCAAGTTTCCCAATATGAATTTCTCATTCCAATGCCTTCTTCCTGAAGATTTTCAAGTTCCCAACAACCTGAGGCAGCGTACATGGACACAGGAGGAGGCGCTATGGGGCAAAGGACAGGAGTTTTGTAGCTAGGCAGTCTGGGTTCCAACTCTACAGGGCCTTCACTGCTGAGACTTGCCTGTGCCCTCGCCCCTCTGAGTCCTCATTTGTAACATGGAGATAATCCTAGTGCTGGTCCCAATGGGTTGCAGTGATGATTACATGAGGCAAAGTGAAGACCCAGACCCAGCCTGGCACACACTGGTATTCACTGAATGTTGGTTCCTGTCCCCAGTGGGTGATTTCAGGGACCAGAGGGAAAAAAAGGAGCTGTGATACCCACAAATCCTGAGGCAAGGCAGGGGCTGAAGATGGAGAGGATTCCACAATTCATCCCAGAGGCCTTGGATCCTCTCTCCTGCACCAACCAGGGTCCCAGTGTGGCTAACAAGGTGCTGACCAGCCACTCCCAAAAGACTAAGAAGGGTTAGCTGGAAAGGTCACAGAGGTCAGAGCAGGCAGAAGCTGCTGTGTTACCTGTGACAGAACGAGGGCTGAGCATGAAATCTGCAGCTCCCCCTGGGCAGGTGGGGTCACTGTCTTCCCTCTCCCTCATCCCTAAGCTGGGCAGTCCTCCACCTGTCCAGGTCGGGCTCAGGAGGCCTGCTGCAACAGCCTCACCCCTGGCCCTGCCTCCAACTGCCAGCCATGCTGGGTACCAGAATGCACTTCCCAACAGAAGACTGGAACCCTACCACAGCTCCCTCTTTAAACCCATCCCACAGAGACAGCTTTCTAGTCCAGAGGCCTGACTCTTCTAGAGCCACCTGCCTTTTTGCACAGGCTGTTCTCTCTGATGAAAACAAAGATACCCTCTGTCTACCAGCAAACTCTCGCATGTTTGATTTAAAAAGCCACCTCTTCTGTGAGGTTTTCCCAGTCCAATCTGCCCCTCATCCAGGAAAGGCCACCCACACTGTGAGCTCCCATGGCTCTTGGGCTGCCCCTGTCAAGGTACTGGCCCACTTCTGTGGCCATTTATGTATCTGTGTCTACCTCCTTGCCTGCATGAGGCCTGGCCACATGAAGGGGAGAAGTCAGATCAATGAAATGTCATGGACAGAAGCGTCCTTCTGCTTTGTGGGAAACATAACAATTGGTGCAATCTTGCAGGATGCTTAGGGCTCTGCCCACTGGTGAAATCAGGTTTAGGACCAGAGTCAAAGCTGTCCCTGCCTTCTATTGTTTGTGCAATCCAACGAATGTTGGCACAATGTAACACACACTACAAACCACTTTTCATTTATTTGCACATGTAATTCATTATCTTATTTAATGCACCAGATCAGTGAAGCAGGAATTACTATCCTCACATTTTAAGTAAGTTACTTGTCCCAGGCCACAGAGGTAGGAAGCAACAGAGTGAGTGTAAAATCCAGGTCCTTTTGACTCTGAGGCTGGAGCACTCGGCCTCTAGATTGGTCTCCCAGCCTCCGGCACCACCCACAAGCCAGAGAAGGGTTTCATAAATCACCAACCCCACCCTGCTGGGCCTGTTTAAACCCTCCAGGAGCTCTCCATTGCCTACAGGCTCAAATATAGCTTCTCAGCCTGGCATTCAAGGCCTTGGTGATTTGGCCTCTGCCTTCCTTCCCAGCCTCAAGTTCAATTCCAATTCACCACCCTCAAGACCTTGCATCTGACAATCCACCATGCTGACCACCTGTGCTGTTTTCATGCATAGGTCCTGCAAATGCTGCTCCTCTTGTGGGAGACACTTCCTGTCTCCCCTGTGTACCACTGACTTCAAAACCATGAGCAGGAGTAACCTCCGGTCAGGCCCCTCCATCTGCGATTATTCCCACAGAACCTCTCCTAGGACTTGTTTCCACCAGGGGACTTTCAGGGAGGACCCAGCCCTCTTTAGGAATTATCCTTAGTGCCCAAGCCAGCTTTGCTCTTCAAAAGGATGCAAGAACTCTTACGTGCATCCCCTGTGTTGACCCAGGAGTTATGATTAAGAAGAAATCTAATTTGGACTCTACCATCCACAAACTGTCATTTAAAAGGTAAGAGGAGAAAAGGTCAACCCCCTCCCTTCACTCCATTTTTGACTGATTTATTAGCTTTTGTCTTTCAACCTGATGCTGGAGGAAGGGTAGGTGGAAGGCTGGTGGCCGATGGCCCTTGCAGCCTTCCTGGGAAGCAAAGTAGTGCCTCGGAATAGGTCAGGTCAGAATGGGGGTGTAGGTTAAACATCAAAGTGTTTCTAGGTTCTGGGATCTGAAGCAGTCAGCAGAACAGGAGAGGCTATTAATACCTCCCCTACCAGAAGGGAAACTGAGGCCAGAGAGGGAAAGGAAAATGCCCACGGCTTTTGCTTTCCCAGGTTAGCGGCCTGTGCCCTCCCATCATGTCTGCAGCATCCGACAAAGTTCTAGGTTAAAGACTGGAGTGAGCGGTGGGGAAGAGGGTGTTTAGGGTTATCTCTGCGACTTAGGCTCAAAAGTTCAGTAGGCTCCTGACGCTCTCCGCCCCTCCTTTCCCGTCAGTCCGGCGCTGCAAGTCTAGACTTATCCGAAGGGCAGAGCGCACAAGGATGAAAAAAGGATCGAAGGTCCTGAGTCACCTCCTCGACGACCCTAGTGTGGGCGGGTGCCGCTCTCCGCCCGGTTGGTAATTCCCATCGCACACCCCGAGCCGTGAGGGAGTTCTGGCCCTGTCAGTACCAGAGTGACCGCGCCTCTGCGAAGCTGAGCAACTTGCCAGCGCCGTGCAGTGGGCCAGTGGCCGTCCCAGTTGAAACCTAAGTGTGCAAGGCTCCCACTGTCCCCAGCTCCCACTGCGAGCCGAAGCTGCGGGCATGCCCAGATCTGGACTGGCGGTTGCCCTCTCACCTACCACGTCAAAGGGCTGGTCCCCCTACTCTGGGGGTGGGCTGCAAATGGAGAGGGGGTCTCAAAGCGGGGCCGGTCTCCCCAACTAACAGACATATCTCTCTGGGTCACACTCTTTCCAAGAAGCACAGGGAGGGCAACGCCAGCCGCCCAGTCCCTTCCTCTCTTCAACCCCGAGCCCGGGACCCCATCGCTCACCTCCTCCTTCCCGCGGGGGTCTGCGGGGGAGTCCGCACTCTCTGCCCAGCCCCGGCCTGGCCCGGCCCGGCCCGGCCAGTCCCCAGGCGCTGCCGATCCCTGGACCACCAATCCCATTGTAGCCCCTCGCGGTCGTGGGACCTCAGGAGGGAGAGGGGGAGGGGGAGGGAAGGCCTGCCTGCGTCCCCGGCCGAGCTGCGGTGGGGAGGACGGGGGCTGTTGCCCGAGGAACCGAGGAACCGGGAGAAAAGTTTGGAGCCAAGTCAGGGGCCCGGGTGGACAGCGGGGGAGCGGGGAGGTGGGGCGGCGTCAGCCTCTCGGCGCGCACACCCTCCGCGGACACCCAGCCCAGACACGTCGGCAGGCACCGACCACGTACGCGGACACAAGGGATGTGCCCACTGACACCCTCAGCCAAACGCAGACCCGCAAACGTGGACACGGGTGCCGAGCAGCCACGCAAAGCCACGGACACACAAAGGCACCGGCAGCGGCGCGTCCCCGACCGCAAATCCACAAAGACCCACAAACGTGAGATGCACGTGTCCGCACAAAGACCCCAGGGGCGCCGGCCCGCGCGCCCACCGCCCGGGAGCGGAGCCTTTGTCTCCCGAACGCCCTCTCCCCTGGGTCGGCGTTCCCCGCTCCCGCCCAGCCCCAGGCGTCCGGCGAAAGTTGAGGGGCCTCGGCGGGACCCAGCCCCGCCCCTGCGCTCGGCGCCCCCGCCCGCTAAAGGGGCGGCGAGGACGAGGTCGAGGCTCGGGACCTTCGCCCACAGCGCGGACTCCCGCGCCGCCGGGGGACCCGCACCCACCTGGAAGCCGGCGCCGCCACCGCCTCGGCACGCTCACCCCGGCGGCCCGGCCGCGGGCCCTCAGGCCGGCGCTTTTCTCCGCTCGGCGCGGCCCGCCCCCTGGTCCCCGCCCGCAGCCGGGCTCCCCCCCTGCCCGGGCGCCGGGTGGCGGCCAGGGCCGGCCGCGGGGCGGCTCAGGGAATGTCGCCAAAGTGCCAGCCTCTCTCAGAGCGCGCCCCGCCCGCGGAGCCCGCGCCGAGCCCGGGTTCCACCCTAGGGAGCGTCTCAAAAGTGCGTAGCTCCCGCCCCCTCCAGTCGGCTTTGCTCGCAGCTTCCTGCATCCCGGATCCTTGCCCCCTCCCCCTGCGCGCCCCAGCAATCTAAGCAGATGGCCGCACGGTCGGAACATCTGGAGGTCGCCGGAGTACGTGTGTGTGGAGAAAGAGAGGGAATTAGTTGCTAGTAAGAAAGAGATTGGGTGGGTGGGTGAGGGCTTCCTCTTTGCTTGTTCACCGCCCCTCCTCATCTTTTTTTTTTTTTTTTTTAAAGAATGAAAGAGGTTCAGGGACGACAGTGAGCCAGAAACCAAGAATCTGAAGCAGAGAAAGGCTTGGTGAAAGACGAACCCACGGAGAAGAGAGAGCCCGGCTCAGGCAGAAAGGCTGGCAGGAGAGGAGAGAGAAAGTCAACAGATCGGAGTTTTTCTTTTATGGAGCGAACCATTGACTTCTGGTTAGAGTTCTAAGAAGGGAGACTGGCGAGTGAGTAGGCAGCAGATTCAGTCTATTCCCCCTCCTGCAGCTCCTCGGTTCTAACCCCTCTTTATGCTAAAAGGGCAGGAAAGCATCCAAGACACTTTAAAATGAGGGTTTGCAGAAGAAATGACCTGGTGGATGCATTCCCTAGGAGGAGAGAGTTGGGTGGGTGTGTGGCTTCCAGTCTACACACCCAGACAATACCTACCTTGGGAGGGGCAGTTCACAGGTGGGGGAGTTCATAGAGGCTTTGGTCTTGGGCCCTGGACCTCCCTGGAGCTTCTCCAAGACTTTGGAGAGGGCCCCAGGGTGCAGAGATTGGGCAGTGTCACCCTCTGCAGTGGCTCGGACTTGTCAACACACCCCGTCTGTTTGGTTTTTCTTTCCTTATTACTTTTTTTTATTCATAGAAAAAAAGGAGTTGCTTGGGTCTGTGTGTGCATGCACATTTGTGTACCTTGGGAAGAAGGAAAACACTAGGGAGATGGTGAGGTAGGAGTAGAGGCCATTACCCCAGGACTCAGGGCAGCAAAATCAAATCTGCTGCCCAGAAAACGAACTGGTCTTGCAGGTCCTCCCTGCACTCAGAGCCATTTTATGGTCTTGGAAATGCCCTTGGGCTGAGACCTGTGAACCCTGCCAGTTAGGGAGGTGCAGAGAAAAGGCTGGGAGTCTGGTCTATTATGTTTGGAGGCAGGGAGAGCTCCCCTCTCTCCTCTCCATTCATCGTCCTCTCCTGATTAGAATCCCAGCTTCCACAACTAGGAGGCCTGCTGTGATCATCTAGCTCAGACTCCTCATGAGTCTTTGAGATAGCACCATGGGCCATTTGGCATCCAGTGTCTTCCTCACTGTTGGGCTTAAAAGGGCTGCAGGGACTCCACACCCTCTGGGGCCCATAGGGAGGAGCCAGACCCCTCCCATTTCCCACCCTCCCATTCCCTCCCCTCTCTAAAGGTCCCCCTTCCCCCACCCTTGATGGAAGAGAGACCTGCAAT